ATATTATGTAGTTCAGGGAGAGATGTAAAACCTCATTATATTGTGTAGTTAGCTGGAGAGATGTAAACCTCTTTATAATTGTGTAGTTAGTTGGAGAGATGTAAACCTCATTATATTATGTAGTTAGCTGGAGAGATGTAAACCTCATTATATTATGTAGTTAGCTGGAGAGATGTTAACCTCTTTATAATTCTGTAGTTAGCTGGAGAGATGTAAACCTCATTATATTCTGTAGTTAGCTGAGAGATGGTAAACTCATTATATTATGTAGTTAGCTGGAGAGATGTAAACCTCATTGACCACCTCCCCAGGTATTCACACCGGAGAGAGTATAGTAGTGGCTCCCTCCCAGACTCTCACTAACATTGAGTACAACATGTTACGTACTGTGGCTATTAAAGTGGTCAGACATCTGGGCGTAGTCGGAGAGTGCAACATTCATTACGCTCTCAATCCTCAGTCACAACAGGTATATACCCTGACCCTGACCCTGACCCTGACCCTGACCCTGACCCTGACCCTGACCCTGAACCCTGACCCTGACCCTGACCCTGACCCTGACCTGACCCTGACCCTGACCCTGACCCTGACCCTGACCCTGACCCTGACCCTGACCCTGACCCGACCCTGACCCTGACCCTGACCCTGACGCCTGACCCCTGACCCTGACCCTGACCCTGACCCTGACCCTGACCCTGATATCCTCTAACTCTTCACCAACTTCAGTACTACATCATAGAAGTGAACGCTCGTCTATCCACGGAGTTCAGCTCTGGCCAGTAAAGCTACAGGAACCCGCTAGCTTACATCGCTGCTAAACCCTCTTTTGTACCCCTTTCCCGACCTCAAAACAAAGGAACCCACTTTTAAAAAATTTACTCAACAACAAGAATTTTTAATTTTAAAAAACTTAAAAAAATATTTCCTAAATAAACACAAACATTTTAACAACAAAAACTCCCTCATTTAATAAAAATCTTTAACCCATTAATAAAAAACAATTTTTTTCCCCCCTAACTTTTTAAAATACCTCCTACCAAAACCATCAAATCAAAAAAACTATAAACTATTTAAATATTTTTTAACATTTTAAATTTTAATTCTTACCTCACAAACACTTTTAAACTTCTTTTTTTTTTTAAAATTTTAACCCCCCTTTTCCCTAATAAATTAAATTTCCCCTTCAAAACCACATTTAAAATACAAACCAAATTTAACTCAAATTTTCCGTTTTCCCAAACCTTTTTCAAAACTCCCCATCAATAACCAAAACTTCATTCCCAGCTATTTTTGGATTAATTTTTCACTAAAAACCACCAACTTATTTTTTCAAAATCAAACTAAACACCCAAATTATAAAACTATCTTTTTAAAAACATTTCAATAATTGTTGTTATCCTATTAAAAAAAATAAAACTCAAAAATTTAATTTTAGGGCCTCAAAATTTAAAATTTAATTCTCTTATAAGATTTCATTCCAAATTTATTTAATTCAACTAACCCTTTTTTATTTCGGCTCAGAAGCATTTCAAACCCCTGTGTTTCTCCTCGCCTTGGGATTCATGCAAACCGCTCATTTTTACTTAGTAAAACTTTAAATAACAAAAACAAAAACAAAAAACAAAAAAATTTAAATAACTTTAAAAAAAATAAATTTAAATAACTTTAAAAACAAAATAACACCTCCCAAACCCCCCAATCTAGTTTAGGGGGCTAAAAAACATTTTCAATTTAAAAAAAACAAAACTAATTCCATAAAAATAAGTAATTTTTACTGCCTCCTTTTATTTTTTTCACTCAAAGCATCATATTCCAGCCTCACCAAAACCTTAAAATTTTTGTTCAAATCACAACTTATTGTTAAATTAAAAAACCAAAAACGGTTTTTCTAACAAAAAATTTTAGAAAAATGAAATGAGAAAAAAAATTAAGCACTATTTTCACCCTCATAAAATAAAAAGCGACAACATTTTTCCCTTTCCCCAAAATTAAAAAAAGTTAATTTGAAACAAAAATTTAGTAACATAACCTTAACAGAAAGTTCCCCCTGGGCCCCCCTGTAAAGGAGGCGGTCTTTCCACTAAAGGATAAATCCTCTACTTTCCGAAGTGTTTCCACTTGTTATTGTTGTAGTAGTTACTAGTGCAAGTAGCATCAGATGGAGCTAGGTCCAGCAGCACTGCTCCGTTAAAAGATACAGATATCTTGCTATATCTCCATTTTACAGTCCATGTAATCTGGGAGATGGATAGTAATGGAGTAGTGAAGGGTTTCCAATCTGAACAAGAAGTTAACTTGAACTGCGGGAAAGGGTGAAACCTCACTTGTAAACCTCCTGCTGGTGAGGCATCAGAGTCTTTGAATTGGACATTTAATATCATGTCGTTATTACCCTCTGTAAAACTGGACTTTATTTGGAGAGCAGATGTCTCTAGATCGAAAGGAATGTCATGTCCCCGTGTGATCGTGGTCCAATCTAGGGAGAAAGTATAATATAGATATTAGATAGTAGATACAAGCATTCTTTTTTAGTTTCTCTGTTTAGGCAATATTATGTTGGTAAAATTTAAATAAACCATGTCAGGTCTAGGTGTCTATTAACTTATTAAAACAAATCATCAAGAAATAACCTGTATTATTTACCTGTATTATTTACTGGTGAGGCATCACGGAGCACAACTACTATCCCTAGCAGTGTCATCCACAGCGAATCCATGGAGCTACGCGTTTAGTTAGTGTCTCAACCACTGTGCTGTAGTAGTTCCAACCACTTCACCGACCAAAGATAATAAATGAAGTTTGTTGATCAGACTTGTTGTTCACTGAGAGTTCTAACTCCCATGTGGTAGACTTTACCACTGGTAGAGCTACATAAAACATTGGGTTTGTGAACCGTATCACATAACGTAGCAGTGGAGCCTCATGATGTTTACCTACGCCACTTTATTTTATATAATACTTTATTTGAATCTTGACTTCATCACCTGGTACCTGAAGTTGTGAAAAAATGTAGCGTCCGTAATAAGTAGTTAGTGGGAGGGGGGAGGGGGGAGGGTGCCGGGGTACCTACCTTGGGGGGGGGGGGGGGGGGGGTGCCGGGGATACCTACCTGGGGGGGGGGGGGGGGGGGGAGGGGGAGGGGGAGGGGGAGGTCATTCAGCCGAGTGGTGGGTTAAGGTTCATGGCTGGAACCTGCAACCTATCCAGTGTAGGATGTGTAAGCTGTCACTACTACACAGATCCTATTTGATAATTCACAAACTCTGTTCCGTGTTTCTTTACCGTGTGGCAGTAGCATCGAAGAGCAGTTTATGAAAGAAGACAGAAGACTGGTAATATTTCATGTGATCACGTGACATTGTCAGGAGGGTATTGTCTAGCTGGATACACTAAATAAAACAACTTAAATTATCTAAACATGCTACAAAGTATCTCCACAGTCTGTAACATTACATAACGTCTCGTGTTGTCGTACAACGTTACTACACTCACCGTTATTACTCTTTGTTTTGAATAACGAGGATGACACTGATAAACGTGTTATCCCAAATCTGGTGCCATATATCCCTTCTTCTGGGACTCATTGGTAACAGCTTTGTGATCTACTCAACAATCTACCACAAAGCCATCAAGTTGGACAAGCTCTCAGTTTGGATCATACAGAACTTAGCTGTGTCGGATCTTATCACAAACAATATCCTTATCTTGATTCCTGTTATCATCTCTCTCTACGCAAACAATCTGTGGGTATTGGGTGATACGTTCTGCAAGATCATGTTTATCTACAAATATGTAGGGTGTGTGGTTAATGTTTTTCTGATAAACACCCTGGCACTGAACAAGATCATGAGATGCCTGTATCCTCTGCGGAATCTAGACTGTTCCAGAAGACAGTTATGGTCTGTAACAGTGAGCACTATAGTTGCGGCGATGGTGTTTCCGTTCTATTATTTCTATGGAGCGATTATGGAGCGTATATTGATCGTTGAATTCTCAACTACTCAATGTATGTGTTGGACGAACCGAACCTCATTCGACAAAACATGGCATCTAACTTTTGAATTTGTCGCTACAACTCTTCTTAATGGCTTGCCTTGTCTGACTTTGTTTCTTATGAACACTTTCCTAGTGATCTATGCTGTTAAGAAAACTAACAGCTCCGTTAACAAGATGAATATCGTGATAGTAATTCTAGTTACCGCCACTTTCCTGGTCTCAGTGCTGCCCTACTTCATTAACACCATGCTACAAGGTGTTACATGGGATGACACTGACTACACCTTGCGCCTCGTTACTTTCATCATGTTCCTCTCTTTCTGGTCCAATCCTATCATATACTTCTCCACTAACAATCACTTTAGAACGTTCACTATTCAGTGTGTTCTTAGAAAGAGAGATATTGTGGAATGTTCGGGTCAGAGCAACACAACGAGAATATCTAAAACAGGAACTAGTAGTTGCAATGAAGTTCCTCTCTCTAATGTAGTTCCCTTATTGGATACAGTGTCGGAACTTACATCAACCATCAAAACCAGTGAACTCTGAATTAATTTGTTTTGGATAGCCAACTTTGATATTTACTGATACTATCAGATTCTATCAGTCTGATAGAAGTCAAGATCACGTCTTGTTTACGTCATGTTTCCACGGACTTGTATGTCTTTGAAAGACTGATATGTAGTAGAAAAGCATCGAAGATTGAAGAATATTATATAATATTGTGATAATGATTGAAACAGCTAAGCTCACTTTTGATGAGGGACAGTTAAATTCAAAAGATATAGTATATTAATACATTATGTGATATAACTATTTATAATGTTAAATCTGTTAAAAGTTGTTACTATCTTACACTGCTCTAAAACGTTTTGTAATTTTCGGATATTGAATAACTATGAGGACAAATAAAAATAAAATTCATAGAGGTCGCCACCCGTTCTGATTGCACTGTTAAATAACACAGGTGTGTTTCACTACAGTAACACACCTCCCCCTCCCAGAGATTGCAGTTCGGGGAGTAAGACACTCCTTCAACCTCCAGCCTTGTGTAAAACAGATAGATACTGTAGCAGGCAGAGTATCCCGCAGAAACCAACTATCTGTACCTGACTTACAACGGGTGTGAAGACGATGTGGTCCTTCATCAGGGTGAGATAATTAGTTATTTAGTTAAGTAGTTAATTAGATAATTAGTTAATTAGATAATAAGTTAATTAGTTAATTGGTTAATTAGTTAAGTATTTAATTAGTTAATTTATTGTATGGTGTTATTGGTATAATGATGAGGCGCAGGCGATGGAAAACTAAGGCTTCGCTTGATGTAACTATCTCCTTGAATACTCGTCTTCATTACTTCGCATTATCGAACATTAACTTACCATCCGATTAACTATATAATTGCTTAAAGTATCTAATTAGCAATCAATTAGCAATCAATTAGCAATCAATTAGCAATCAATTAGCAATCAATTACTCTTCTCTCCCAGGTGGAGCGCACATGGTGCTGGGTAGTGGAGTGTACAGGATAGGGTCCAGTGTAGAGTTTGATTGGTGTGCTGTGGGCTGCACTCAGGAGCTTAGAAAGGTAACGTTCTATTGTACTTATTTGATGTTTTAAGTATCATGATTAGAATTTAGATGGAATCTTCTCTACAGCCGGCAACGATCGAGTTTGAAGCTGATTACTTATCTTTCTGTTTCAGTTGGGTTACAAGAATAATGGTTAACTACAATCCTGAGACAGTTTCTCATTGTATAAATGTATCTAATTAGCAATTAATTAGCAATCAATTATCAGCTGATCACTTATCTTTCTGTTTCAGTTGGGTTACAAGACTATAATGGTTAACTACAATCCTGAGACCGTGTCGACTGATTACGATATGTGTGATAGGCTCTACTTCGAGGAGATCAGCTTCGAGGTCAGCGCCATTCCAGTTACAACTTTTGATTCAGAGGGGGGAAATATTTTCTTTGCAACAGATTATTATATAATCGACTTCATCCATGATCATAATATTTCAACTGAAATGTTGTTAATTTGCTTTTATTTTGCTTTTATCTGAAGATTAAGTGACCTGTAACCCTGGTATGACAGGTTGTAATGGATGTGTACGAGTTGGAGAACCCAGAGGGAGTGATAGTGTCAATGGGAGGACAGCTGCCAAACAACATAGCTCTTCTTCTACACAGAGCGGGAGCTAATGTACTGGGCACCAGACCAAGCATGATAGACAGCGCCGAGAACAGGTAACTAGGTAACAGAGTAACAGGTAACTACTAAGTAAGTGAGAAAACAGGTTAGAGGATAGGTCAGAGAGGTTGAATATTCCAGAAAGTTTTATTTTCAGAATTGTCTGTATAGAATTATCATCAGTTTGTTGAATTTTGGAATATGACTAAGTAACAATCCTCTTTAAATTTCTTTTAACAGTTTAAAATAGAGAAATGAATAAAAAACAAACAAACCAACCGAAATGTAATGGGAAATTTAATGTTCTCGAAAATAATTCCAAACAGCTTTAAAAATCCTAACTCTGATAGCATCTCACATATAATTAGCGTATATATTTTCCTCAAACGCGGCCTCTCTCTGCCCCCTTGTTACTTGTTGAGAAAGTTGGGCCTCTGCCAACTCTGTTATGAACATCTCCCCCTTCCTCTTCCTCTTACTCCACAATCACACTGATATAGCTATCACTAGTACCACTACTACCCCTAATGTCATGGTCACTAAGAGCACTGTGTTGAACACTAAAAATGAGGTGTTGTCCTGACTATGTTTGTTTCCTGGTTTCTGGCAGTACTCTGGTAACTCTGGTAACTCTGGTAACAGAGTAAGTGTAAACTCTGGTAACTCTGGTAACAAAGCTAACTTCACTTCAAACACAAACTACTCTAAGAGCTGAGGGGCTACTAGAGTAACCTCAGATCCAAACTTTTTTTTCTTCTTTATTTTATTTTTTTAAATATGCAACCTACTAAAACCCAATGAAGCCCTCCTCGGGGTCATTCCTCTCGCATTTGCGAAAGTCGTCCCAAAGGTGTAAAAGGAAGTCAGGATTTGTTCCCACCAAGCTCTTACATCGCTATTTGTTGACCATCGGCCTTCACTGAAGGTAAGTTTTTTAGAGTGGAGGCCGACCGTCAGCATGGGATGCAGGGCCAAGCGGGAAACAACGTCAAGGCCCCCTTCTACTTGGGCCATGTTGGTTTTGGCAGATACTGTGGTAATAAAATATGAAGTGAATGAGTGAAATGAAGTGAGTGAAAAGGGTGTAAGAGAGGAGGAGCTTGTAAGGAATTTAGGAAAGGAAGGAAGCAGGGCATGTACTACAAAAAAACAGCTACTAGTAGATCCAAACTTAATAATATATGATTATTAGTAAGGGTATTACGTAGGAATATGAGGGGAGTGTTGGGGGGAGGGGGGTGGTATATGATTATTAGTAAGGGTGTTTGTTAGCAGTGTTGATAGTATAATTTAACCTGGAGGGGGATTTGTTTAAAACATATTATATATAATAAGTGATACGAAAAGTTTGTTTTAGCAGGAGCTTTCAAAATACATGATGTGTAAATCGTCTTCAGCTCGTCTTCCTAACTCTACAAATTGCAGGTTCAAATTCTCAAGAATGCTGGACTGGATGAACATAGCCCAGCCCAAGTGGAAGGAGCTGACGGACCTGGAGTCAGCTGTAGACTTTGCTACACAAGTCGGCTACCCGGTCCTAGTGAGACCTTCTTACGTTCTCTCTGGAGCCGCCATGTCTATCTGTCACAGGTAATTTAACCTTTAACAGTAACTCGCAGTAGTTACATGTTATTTAACAGACCATGACACTATTGTCTATTAGTAGTAGTAGTAACGAGTGGGGTCAGTCGGGTTTATGTCTCTCATTGTGGGACTCCGCTCAGTGATTTGTACTATAGATAATTATGACACCATTGAATGCAGAATAAATACTAAACTCAATGAAAAACACCATTTTTACTATTATATAAATTGTTGAATAATTGGAATTCTTAAATTATTGTTTAAATTTAATTGAAATTAAGATCCAAAAAGGGCGGAGTCTGAAACATGTATACATACTACTTTCCAATTAATTTAGAACTCAACATGACATATATTTATATAATTAACATACATGATATAATTAAATTTTTAGAAAACTTGAATATACTAAGCTATATCCCAGTTCAGATCAAACCAGAGAACTTCTGTATATTGGTGTATAATGTATATTTGTAAAACACTAGAAGTTCAGATCAGTGGTTCACAGAAAACAGATGGGGTAAATGGGGGTTCGCGATAAGGAAGTAAAACCGAAATTTACGATGCACAATGCGAGTCGAGATCATTCTAGGGGTGATCCTGTGGGATTGTTCTTTGCAAAATCCCTGAAGCAAAAATCTAGACCCATCATCAAGTCACCTCTTCATCAGATTACGTGAAAATAGATTCTGATAAAATGTCTGTAGACCTAGAAGATCTCTCCAGTAACGACCATCTTGTCTGTGTATCGTCTCTGGAAGGAGCTCGACTCTGTCCGACAAAGTGGGGGACAGATCCGCAACAGGAAGAAGAAACCTATAACCACCAAGCAAAAAAAGAACCCCACTATCATCAGGTTCCTGAAATTCTCCGTCTTTCCGTTTTTCTCCTCCGCTGAATCCCCCACGTCTAAATCGGCGGATCCCTTGGAACCGTTAGAAGATATTTGTATGATAGACAGAGCACACAGAAGAAAGACCGTTGTTAGATTGAGAAATCCCATAGCACAGGGTGTAGAGTGTAGTAGAGTGTTACTATGGTAACTAGTAGAGTACAGGTCACAGCTCAAATAGTTGTGCAAACGCAAAGAAATGTTTTCACGCAAAAGAGATTGAAGAGACTAGAGTGATAGTGTGGTAAACGAAGCATAATAGATTTAAGGAGATGGAAATATCCGAAGAGGGTGTATATTGTTAATCTAACACACATGTACGGTTATTGTGAGTGAACTCACTAAGTTAATAGAAATATTAATTAGGGTTAGAGTTAATCAGTAATGTAATATCATGAGGTCCCAGACAAAGGTATCGGTTTGGAATGAGGTGGAAATTAACTATGGAATATTATGCAACTTTACAAAGTTATAATAATGTTATCAATCTTAATATAGACTTATAACTTAACATGCAACTGGTCATGGTTCTGAAATTTAAATGCTACATCCTATCAGTGCAGTATTCTACAATTAATGTTGAATTAAATCCAACTCTTAAGAACTTCCGATGTAAAGATCAAGACCTCATCAATTTCAGAATCCTTAACACTTGTGTTGAGCCGCCTCTTAAACGGAAATAAAAGCAAGCCCTGATAAAGTTGTAAAATTGCTGGGTCACTACTGGGTCACTGCTGGGTCACTACTGGGTCACTACTGGGTCACTGCTGGGTCACTACTGAGCCACTGCTGGGTCACTGCTGGGTCACTACTGGGTCACTACTGGGTCACTGCTGTGTCACTACGTATAGATCTCCCCGGTTATGAGTTGAGTATCTGTGTAGTGCCTAAGGACGAGGCCTGACTCCATTCTGCAAAGACGAGGACATATCTCTAACAAGAAGAAGAAACATATAGCTATGAGGAGTATACAGAAGCCAGTAATTGTCATGTTCTTTATATTTTGATGCATCAACTCGTTTGCGTGCTCTTCATGATCTCCCTCCTCTTCCTCCTCTTCCTCCTCCTCTTCCTCCTCTTCTTCCTCCTCTCCCTCCTCTACTTCATGGTAAGACTCCTCTTTTTCCTGTTTGTTGGAGGTGATTTGTTTGATAGATAGAGTGCACAGAAGAAATATCGTATACAGATCGAGAAAACGCATACTGTCTCACAGGGCAGAGCGATGTTTAAACTTAAAGCGTAAATAAATGTTTTCACGCAAAAGAAACAGCTAACTAAAAATGAGCTGTGTCTTGGTCAAACCACAATAAACAAGGCTGATGGGGGGTGGCATATTGTTCTTCAACAAAGTCTCAGCACAAAGAAACATAGTTTGTAACAATAAAGTAGCATTGGTGGGATCGAAGACAAAGAAACAAGTTTTTGATATAGTTTAATGGACATAAACTATAGTTCTATAACATAAACTGTGATATATTTTGCAATAAAAGGTTATATTGTTATAATATTATCAATCAACGTTTAGATTTAAAGTTTCATTATATGTATACACGAGTTAAAACGTGTTAATCGTTCATGTGGTATAAAGGGGAAAAGGCACAATAACCTACTGAATTTAAAGAATAATTTAAATACATTTCAGTTCAAATTATAAATTTCATCATACTTCAATTCCATGTTAAATTAAAAAATATCGCATTGGCCATACACACACATGTTTTATTCTCATGAATTGGAAAACTAGACCAGGGGAATTCAGTTGTGTGGGACTAGCAGGTTATGATTTTTGGAAGATTACATTTATTGCCAATTGTGTCATTTTTTTCCAATTGTGCCAATTAGTATCTTTGCAAGATACTAAATCTTTCCTCTCATTTATTTTACAACACATGGTGCCCAAACAAATTGCCATCTTAAAGATGGATCACTTCCGCACTAATAGTTGATTCCGCTAAATTTGGTTTCCAAACAGAGCTAAAATCCCGGTTCCGGTCCTGGTCAAATTTGACTGATCCCGGCCAATTTCAAATTGGATAAAAAAATCCCGGTCCCGGTCAAAATTGACCAATCCCGGTCCCGGCCATTTCAAATGTCTTATCCCGGTCATTTACTGGCCCAACATCGCCAGTGTCTAGCTGCTTGTCAAGATATAACCTCTTCTTATCCTCCCTGAGAAAAGGAGGGCACACTTCCAGGAGTAGTCTGAAGATAAGCACCAGTATCCCTATGATAAACACTATGATAGCCAGATTATCCGAGCTGATACTTCCTCCTGTAGGTTGTGCAGTCTCTCCGTGGATACTATCCAGCTCTCCCGACATACTGTTAAACAGAGTGTTACTATGGTAACTAGTAGTGTACTATGGTGACTTTAACATACTGTTAAACAGAGTATTTAGTCAGACTTTCATGTCAATACAGTGAAATACACAAGATAAAACCTATTGCCAATTTTATAAACAATCAACAATGACAAATTCCTAACAAATTCTTGAATTCTTAACTGCTGTCGGATAGAGAGAACTGACTGAAAGCCACTATAGATTAAAACAAGCTGTAATTTCAAAGAAATGATTAAAACGCTACTTTAGAATTTTTAAACACCGTATACTTACTGCAATAGGATTGGGTGTAGTCAAAGAAAGGGGTAGCGTCTAGTCTATCTATCGTGTGGGGCGTATCGTACACAATTTGCATTGTTTATGTTCTAATTATGCCTTGAAGTGTTGAATTCTGGCACGTCGTTAGTCCCACATCCAGAAAGTCGGCTAATCGGCAGATAATCTGGGAGAAAATTTTAGATTTTAGAGGATTTTTTGTGTTACAGAGGAAAAATGTAGAGGACCTGACCTTTTTTGGGGCATTACAAACTTTTAGGGGGAGGGGGAGGGGTTGATCTGCAAGGAAATTTAAACTCTGGATGTAGGTAATTCTAAGTAGGATTCTATAGTGGCAATTACAATAGCTATAATGATTCTAAGTGGTAATATACAATAACACTATTGTAATATTATACAATGTGCCGGCTTTTGGGGTGGGTATGATTTAATAGTTCAATGATAATACTTAATAGCCATGTACATGTAATGGTGTTGTACCCAGTAGCATTAAAATATACCCAACAAAGATGTACATTCAAGTCATTGAATGTTTTGTTGGCAAAAAGGAATTTAATTATATGAAACGTTTACTGCAGGAAAAGAAAATGGGATTAGCAAAGATATTATCCAATAATAAACGATATGTTGACGATTTATCTATTATTAACTACCTTTACTTTCATAAATTGATTAAAGATATTTATCCTAATTCATTGGAGATGGAGCGAGCTGGTTCCAATAATAAAATCATTAACTACCTTGATTTAAATATTAATATTTCCACAGAAGGACTAGAAATATCAGTGTATAACAAAACTGATGATTTTAATTTTCATGTTGTATCCCTTACATTTCCTCACAGTAACATCCCAACCGAGGTTGGCTACAACGTTTTTTCAAGTCAAGTTCTTAGATATGGTAATGTTTGCACTAGATTGGATATCTTTACCTCCCATCTTCACAAAATATTCAAAATTCTAATTGATAGAGGATATAGCCGTGATAGACTGATTAAAGGCATTAAACGTTGTCTGAGGAAATATGATAACGTTTTCAGGAAGTTCGGTATTCTAGATGACCGTAACATTATTAAAGAACTCCCCTGATATCTTTTGATTTATTGAAACACGGGTACTAACTCTGCTAAACTGAACAAATTCTGAAACTTAGGTGAATAAGTGTACAACGTGCTAAACCGAAGTTCAGACTGACCAGTGAAAATGGGCGAGCGTACCAAGTGTCATTTTAATTAGAAGTTTTAGTCAGTGATTTATTATTGAAGCTTGTAATTACATTATCTAATGCTCCTATAAATACTTTAATTAATTGTTTGTCCCGTTATTCTTTTTCCTTCCTCTTTTCCTTATCATCCCCTTTAGTTTTAAGATTCTTGCTATAAATGGCTACAGCTAACACTATTAATGCTAAGTACCAAACAACAAGTGGGAGGTGGATCGTTGGTACCATTAAATCGATTTAACACCGCAATTCCAGTCGCAAGCCTGGGACCACTACTAGCATAGTCACAACATCTACAAAGCTGCCATATAGCCTGACTGACAATTTTCTCGACTGACTGACAATGTTTCTTCTTTTTCCCCATTTAGAATACAAAGATTACATTTTAGCTTATGATTAATATTATATTTTTACCTATAGTTTACTTAGATTAGTATGAAAATATCAAGATTATGCAAGTGTGCTTTTTATCGCTTACTTAAACAGTTCAATCAACCCTAAACACCAGGATAAGTTTAAATAATACTCAACTTTACCCTCAATTACCATGACAATAGGTTACTAGGTTACTAGGTTACTAAGTTACTAGGTTACTAGGTTACTAAGTTTAAATAATACTCAAACTTCCCCTCACCTTCTAAATGCTAATGCTTACTTATCTAACTATCTAACTACATGTACTAATTGTTACTACTACTACTATTACTACTATTACTATTACTATTACTATTACTATTACTATAACTATTACTATTACTATTACTATTACTATTACTATTACTATTACTATTACTATTACTATTACTATTACTATTACTATTACTATTACTATTACTATTACTAATGCTAACTACTTCAGAGATGACGAGTTGAAGGAGTATTTAGGAAAAGCAGCAGCCCTGTCGCCTGACCATCCAGTTGTTATCAGCAAGTTTATCATGCAAGCCAAGGTTAGGGTGGCTAACAGTAGTTATCAGCAAGTTTATTATGCAAGCCAAGGTTAGGGTGGCTAACAGTTGTTATCAGCAAGTTTATCATGCAAGCCAAGGTTAGGGTGGCTAACAGTTGTTATCAGCAAGTTTATTATGCAAGCCAGGGTTAGGGTGGCTAACAGTTGTTATCAGCAAGTTTATCATGCAAGCCAAGGTTAGGGTGGCTAACAGTTGTTATCAGCAAGTTTATTATGCAAGCCAGGGTTAGGGTGGCTAACAGTAGTTATCAGCAAGTTTATCATGCAAGCCAAGGTTAGGGTGGCTAACAGTAGTTATCAGCAAGTTTATCATGCAAGCCAAGGTTAGGGTGGCTAACAGTTGTTATCAGCAAGTTTATCGTGCAAGCCAAGGTTAGGGTGGCTAACAGTTGTTATCAGCAAGTTTATCATGCAAGCCAAGGTTAGGGTGGCTAACAGTAGTTATCAGCAAGTTTATCATGCAAGCCAAGGTTAGGGTTGCTAACATTTGTTATCAGCAAGTTTATCATGCAAGCCAAGGTTAGGGTTGCTAACATTTGTTATCAGCAAGTTTATCATGCAAGCCAGGGTTAGGGTGGCTAACAGTTGTTATCAGCAAGTTTATCATGCAAGCCAAGGTTAGGGTTGCTAACATTTGTTATCAGCAAGTTTATCATGCAAGCCAAGGTTAGGGTGGCTAACAGTTGTTATCAGCAAGTTTATTATGCAAGCCAGGGTTAGGGTGGCTAACAGTTGTTATCAGCAAGTTTATTATGCAAGCCAGGGTTAGGGTGGCTAACAGTAGTTATCAGCAAGTTTATCATGCAAGCCAAGGTTAGGGTGGCTAACAGTAGTTATCAGCAAGTTTATCATGCAAGCCAAGGTTAGGGTGGCTAACAGTTGTTATCAGCAAGTTTATCATGCAAGCCAAGGTTAGGGTGGCTAACAGTTGTTATCAGCAAGTTTATCATGCAAGCCAAGGTTAGGGTGGCTAACAGTTGTTATCAGCAAGTTTATTATGCAAGCCAAGGTTAGGGTGGCTAACAGTTGTTATCAGCAAGTTTATCATGCAAGCCAAGGTTAGGGTGGCTAACAGTAGTTATCAGCAAGTTTATCATGCAAGCCAAGGTTAGGGTTGCTAACATTTGTTATCAGCAAGTCGTGCTTTGTTTTGGCACGCTTATATATATTATTGCATATTTTAATGAATACTGTATATATATGCACTATTTTTAGAGGATACTATTTTTATACGTGCTTATGAATAATTACCTGTATAATTATGATAAATAATTTATTTTACAAGATACTCTACCCAGGAGATCGATGTAGACGCTGTAGCGTGTAACGGGGAGGTTCTAGTAATGGCTATCTCAGAGCACGTGGAGAATGCAGGAGTACATTCCGGGGACGCCACTCTTATCTGCCCACCACAGGTACACACTGCACGTGATACATATCACTCTTATCTGCCCACCAGAAGGCACAAGTACACACTGCACTTGGTTACACTTCTTCAAACTACCTTGCAAAGTATTACATTATTATATTTGAAAGGTGTTGGGCTGAAGTTCTGGACCATTTACAAAGATGTAATATCCGGATCTTCCTCTCTAAAAAATAAGAAAAGGTTACAAACCTATAACCACTGCAACAAGTACTGCAACGATTACAAGTGTAACTGTAACTCTAACTATTACTCTAACTGTAACTCTAACTGTTACTCTAACTGTCACTCTAACTGTTACTCTAACTGTAACTCTAACTGTTACTCTAGAACTGTTACTCTAGAACTGTTACTGTAACTGTAAACTGTAACTCTAACTGTAACTCTAACTGTAACTCTAACTGTAACTCTAACTGTTACTCTAACTGTTCTCTAACTGTTACTCTAACTGTTATTCTAACTGTTACTCTAACTGTCACTCTAACTGTTACTCTAGAACTGTTACTCTAGAACTGTTACTGTAACTGTAAACTGTAACTCTAACTGTAACTCTAACTGTAACTCTAACTGTAACTCTAACTGTTACTCTAACTGTTCTCTAACTGTTACTCTAACTGTTATTCTAACTGTTACTCTAACTGTTACCCTAACTTTTACTCTAACTGTTTCTCTAGAACTGTTACTCTAGAACTGTTACTCTAGAACTATTATTCTAACTGTCACTCTTAATGTTACTCTAACTGTTACTCTAACTTTAACTGTTACACTAACTGTTATTCTAACTGTTACTATAACTGTTACTCTAACTGTAACTCTAACTGTAACTCTAACTGTAACTCTAACTGTAACTCTAACTGTAACTCTAACTGTAACTGTAACTGTTACTCTAACTGTAACTCTAACTGTAACTCTAACTGTAACTCTAACTGTAACTATAACTGTAACTCTAACTGTAACTCTAACTGTAACTCTAACTGTTACTCTAACTGTAACTCTAACTGTTACTCTAACTGTAACTCTTAATGTTACTCTAACTGTTACTCTAACTGTTACTCTAACTGTTAGTCTAAATGTAACTCTAACTGTAACTCTAACTGTAACTCTAACTGTTACTCTAACTGTTCTCTAACTGTTACTCTAACTGCTACTCTAACTGTTACTCTAACTGTTATTCTAACTGTTACTCTAACTGTTACTCTGACTGTTACTCTAACTGTTACTCTAACTGTTTCTCTAGAACTGTTACTCTAGAACTGTGGGGGGGGGGGGGGGGGGGGGGGTCCAACCCGATGTCCGATATGAGGGTTGATGAGGCCAAAATCGGAATCGGAAAAATCGGAAAAATCGGAAAATTGAGAAATTTTAGAGAATCGATCTCTAAAACCTCTCAGAAGTGAGGAAGTGATAAAAAACCCCTACATATGCTATATTGTTATGAGAAAACGAACTAATTGGACATTCCATTAGTATGTTTTATGTGTTTTTCCACTGCAGGGGCTAGTATGCTCACTACTAGTTGGAGTTGTCATGTACTCCCAGACCCGAGTGCTTTGGCCTCTTGACGTGAGATCGATTGTTTCTGCTCATTAATTTTATCCCTGTTACTTGTTATTATGTATTAGTACACTGTACAACACTAGGGTTATATTTTGTGGTCCGGTCTTTAAACATACCATAATATCACTAGTACACTGCACCTTAAATGTATAGTCAAGTACATTTGTATCGTAACACATGCTTGGCTGGGGGATCATGTTTTGTGTCCGTTCGGTACCCTGTATTTTCAAAACGGACAAAAAGTAGGGCGGACAAAAACAGACAAAACATTTAGATGTCCTCCTCCTCCTCCTCCTAAGTCTTCCTCCTCCTGAGTCCTTCTCCTCCTCAGTCCTCTTCAGTCCTCTTCCTGACTCCTCGTCCTTGTCCTTCTCCTCAGTCCTCCTCACCCTCCTCCTCAATCCCCTTCTCCTCCTCAGTCCTACTCCCAGGCCTCCTCCTTCTCCTTCTCCTTCTCCTCCTCCTCATCCTCATTTCTCCTCCTGATCCTCCTTCTCCTCCCCATCAGTTCTCCTTAGTCCTCCTCATAGTCGTCCTCCTCCTCCTGAGTCCTTCTCATCCTCCTCCACCTCCTGAGTCCACCTCCTGAGTCCTCCTCCTGAGTCCTCATCCTCCTCCTCAGTCATCATCCTCTTCCTCCTGAGTCCTCCCCCAGTCCTCCTCCTCCTTCTCCTCCTCATCCTCCTCCTCCTTCTCCTCCTCATCAGTCCTCATCCTCTGTCCTCCTCATAATCGTCCTCGTCCTCATCCTCGTCCTTAGTCCTCCTCCTCCTTATCCTCCTCCTCAGTCCTCCCCCAGTCCTAATCCTCCTCCTTCTCCTCCTCCTCTTTCTTCTCCTCCTAATCATTCCTCCTCCTCAGTCGTCCTCCGCCTCCTCCTCGTCCTTAGTCCTCGTCCTCTTCAGTATTCCTCCTCAGTCCTCCTCAGTCCTCATCCTCCTCATCCTCCTCCTCCTCCTCAGTCCTCCTCCTCATCCTCCTCCTCCTTCTCCTCTTACTTCTCCTCCTAATCAGTCCTCCTCCTCAGTCGTCCTCCTCCTCTTCATTAGCCCTTGTCCTCATCCTCCTAGTCCTCGTCCTTAGTCCTCGTCCTCATCCTCCTCAGTCTTCCTCCTCAGTCCTCATCAGTCTCATCGTCCTCATCCTCCTCCCCAAGTCCTCCTCTTCCTCAGTCCTCCCCCAGTCCTCCTTCTCATCCTCCTCATCCTCTTCAGTCGTCATCTTGTTCCTCCTCAGTCCTCCTCTTCCTCCTACTCGTCAGTCCTCCTCCTCCTCCTTCTCCTCAGTCCTCCTCCTCCTCCGCAGTCCTTCTCCTCCTCGTCAGTCCTCCTCCTCGCCAGTCCTCCTTCTCCTTCTTCTCCTCCTACTCCTAAGTCCTCCTCCTCCTCCTCAGTCCTCCTCCTCCCTCTCATTCTTTTCCTCCTTCTCCTCCTTCTCCTCCTACTCCTAAGTCATCCTCCTGCTCCTCAGTCCTCCCCCAGTCCTCCTCCTCATCAGTCCTCCCCCAGTCCTCCTTCTCCTCCTCCTCATCCTCAGTCCTCCTCCTCATCATCCTCCTCAGTCCTCCTCCTCCTCAGTCCTCCCTAAGTCCTCCTCTTCCTCAGTCCTCCCTAGTCCTCCTTCTCCTCCTCCTCATCCTCAGTCCTCCTCCTCATCCTCAGGGATCGGATTCCTCAGTCCTCCTCCTCAGTCCTCCTCGTCCTTAGTCCTCCCCCAGTCCTCCTTCTCCTCATCCTCAGTCCTCCTCCTCAGTCCTCGTCCTTCTCCTTTTTAACAGTCCTGTTTGTTTGTTTGAAAACCAGTTTTTGCTGGTACCCATAAGGGCTTTGGAACCAATATATAATAAATTGTATGAATAAATCAAATCCCCGTGGGGCACGCGACATTCAAGATCTAGTTGCAAGCACATGTTATAAAACATTGTAAAATAGCCTCAAGACCAGAACTGCATATTGCTTGGGCTTCCAGCCCAGTTTGCTCAACAGTTCGTGGCCTACTTACCTAACTTAAAACCTTAGTGCAATGCTTGCAACAACTAAAATCCTATTCTATAACTAAGTTACCCTATTACGTATAATCTAGAAGAGTGATGCAAAAAGTCAACTGATAACGCAACACAGTCTAATCATACTCTTATCAGTAGTTCCTCTAACCTCTGTTCTCAGTTATACAAAAAGTTTTAACTCCATGAAATTAACGTCACACACATACACAAATGCTTGACTTTCTCAAATAATTAGTCACTCAGCGACACAAACTTTGTTGTTTTTAATGTAATATTTCTTGCTCGGGTCCTTCTTGATTCCCTCTTTCATTTCCTGTACGAGCTTTTGGCGAGAGATTCGCTCATCCTGCGACCTGTCTGGAGATAAGTAGAGTTTGTTGTAGTTGAAATTGTAGTCTGCCACATCAACCGATTTCAAGACTTTTGCTCTGCTCAGAAATTCACGTACAATTTCAGGATCTCGCAAAGTAACTTTTATCGGCCGTGATCGAGGGCTGTCAGACTTCTTTACTCCCACTCTCTCAATGTTTGTTATAGTCGGCCTTCCAATGAACTTCATAAAACCCCAAATATCACCCACGAGATCCCGTTCGTTCATTTCTTGCTCTTCACATTCGAGCTGTTCTGGGGCCCCGAAGATGATAAAGTTTTTCGACCGATCATCTTCTGTAATCGCCGATTTCACAGCCATTTTGATTTTAGCTGGAGAGATATCAGAAGCTACGCTGTTATTCTTCACAACATCTGTAAACAGTTTCATTTCTGTTTTCACTGTCTCCTTCACTGAAGCTAGTTTACCAGATTTGCATTGGATGAGCTCGTTCTGAGTTTTTATCTGTTCTGATTTCTGTTGGTCAAGCGTCTCTGCTGCTGATCTCAAAACATTTCTCGATTTACATATCATAGACCCCATCTTCAAAACTATTTCGGTTATTACATCCTTTGTAACGCCTTTTGGCTTGAACAAGTCATGAGTGAGGTCCTCTAGTTTCCTGCAATTAAGATTCGCTAAAACCGAGTCTGATAAGTCCTCAATCTGTTTCTCCAGTTCGTGAAGTGTACTGACCGAAAATTCCATATTGTGTATACTTCGTGTATAGCAAAGCTGCACAGTAAAAGGCAGTGCAATTACCTATTTACTGATAAGAGACAACTGATATCAACTCACAAGCGAAAAGATTGATTGCACACTGCCTCCTCCTCAGTCTTCCTCCTCGTCCTCGCTCTCGTCCTCCTCCTTCTCGTCTTCCTCCACACCAATCCTGCTCCTCTTCCTTAGTCCTCCCTCTCCTCTTCAGTCCTCCTCCTCCTCAGTCCTCCTCGGTCCTCCTCTTTCTCCTCAGTCTTCCTCCTTTTCCTCCTCCTCCTCATTTCTCTTCCTCATCCTCCTCCTCCTTCTTCTCTTCCTTCTCCTCCTAATCAGTCCTCCTCCTAATCAGTCCTCCTCCTCAGTCGTCCTCCTCCTCGTCCTTAGTCCTCGTCCTCATCGTCCTTAGTCCTCGTCCTCATCCTCCTAGTCCTCGTCCTCATCCTCCTAGTGCTCGTCCTGGTCCTCCTCAGTCTTCCTCCTCTGTCCTCCTCAGTCCTCCTTCTCCTCAGTCCTCCTCCTCCTCCTCATCAGTTTACACAATTTATTGTTACTAAAATGTTTTTAAACGCATTTGAGTCTGTAACATATTGACATGTTACTGTTACTGACTCAAAATGTGCCCGAGAATTTTTTTGTTTAACAGAGTTTTACTCTCCAGTACTATGGAAAAGTTGTTACATGATAAATAAAGATTTTGATAAATAAAGTGATTTTCATCCCTTTTAATGTTATTGAAAATTGTGTAGACTATTCTTTGTATCTAACTGAGGATTGGAAGTTTGAGAAAGGACCATAGTCATTAACCGTGCTACCCATTTCTGCAGATAGCCTGTTACAAATTGTGGAGACAATTTAAATCAAAAGTTACTAAAGCGTTCGCTATTTGTTACGATTGTTATTACCAACCGTACCTCTTTCAATTGTGGACCGGGGTGGATGTTTCTGTCAAACAAGAGTTGGTACGACATTGTGTTGTTTTTCGGACGAAACGATTCTTGTTTGGAACAAGATACCGTTTTGGGGTTCTGGGACCACCACCAATCGATTTCTTGTCATATTTAAGTACAGAAATAGCTACCTATATCGCCTAGAAACCTCAGAGGGAAGATTTAAATTTTCCCGATTTTTCCGATATGAGGGTTGATGAGGCCAAAATCGGGATCGGAATGATCGGAATTGATCGGGTTGGACCCCCCCCCCCAACTGTTACTATATATGCTACTCTAACTGTTACTCTAACTGTTACTCTAACTGTTACTCTAACTCTAACTGTTACTCTAACTGCTACTCTAACTGCTACTCTAACTGTCACTCTTAATGTTACTCTAACTGTTACTCTAACTCTAACTGTTACTCTAACTGTTACTCTAACTGCTACTCTAACTGTTACTCTAACTGTTACTCTAACTGTTACTCTAACTCCTCAGGATATGAACGAAGAGACTCTGTTGAAGATAAGGAAGGTGTGCAGAGCAGTGGGTCACGCCCTACAAGTATCAGGCCCCTTCAACCTGCAGATAATAGCTAAAGAGAACAACCTGAAGGTTATAGAGTGCAACGTGCGAGTGTCTCGCTCCTTCCCATTCGTGTCCAAGACCCTGGAGGTGGACTTTGTAGCTCTCGCTACTAAAGTGATACTGGGGTTACCTTGTGAGCCCATTACCCCTGATCCCATGACTGATTCTCGGAGGATTGGAATTAAGGTTAGATGATATTATATAATAATATATATGATATAATATAAGTTAGATAATACGAGCAGGGTACCTTTAGATATTAGATAAGGTAACATAATACAGGGGGGGGGGGGGGGGGGGGCAAAAGTCAGTACCCATACGTTGGGTCTTAAACCACTGCCGTGTTTTATATTTGAGAGTTGTTGCTTTGCAGATGGCATACTGTACTTACTACCTACTTGTTCGAGGATTCCGTCACCAAAATTTGAAAATTCGATTTTTCGGGACCACACCTAATTAACATTGAATTGCTTATACTGTTTTGTGAACATGTTAGAGATTCCGTTGTAACATATAACATATTGCAATAGGTCATTTGACCCGGAATATAATCTGAAAAGATGGTGGAAAACAGATTTAAAATGACGAAGTTATCAAGCACTTTGTTTATCTCGTTAGCAAAATTGATTGGGTACTCAATGATTACCCAATTACGACACTGTAATTGGGCTCTCTGCACGATCTAGCCTCAACCGGTCATCTGAGAAGCTGGAACTCTCATTTTTTCAGGACAAACGTAATTTTTTTAAATCTCACACTTATTTTACTTCGGAGTATTCCAACAGCCACATTGTTACACAAGTGTAACTAGCCAATTACAGGAAGCCGAAGGATTTAATTAGGCCAGTGACGGTTAAGGTAGTGTGTACCATACTTTCTTCGCCCGAGACTTCGCTGCAATGTGCAGCTCCTCATTTAACCCTCACACACGATTTCTCGAATATTCGGCTGAGTAGACCGGGGGGCTGCATAGACCACTCAGGATCTTTAGCTGAATGTCGACGACACTCACCCCACGACTAGGCAGGCAGTGGGTTTCGAACTCGCAATCTCACGATTACAAATCCGATGATTAACCAACTACGCTACCTGGCCATTTAAATGGCCAAACACCATTCAATAAAATTTTGCTCGATCCGACTTTCCAAACTATCAAATAAATGCGAAAATGAACCTTCATTTGCAAAAAAAGAACACCAATATTTTTCCTCGAACCAGTGGTGGTAGTAAGTCATACCAGAAAGAATTATTTCAATTGGACACTCAGTGACTGAGCTATTAAGGCCAACGTATGGGTACTGACTTTTGCCCCCCCCCCCCCCTGTATTATTAACGTTTATGGAGTATTTGTCGCAGAATTATAATTTCAATCTTGTGTAATGCAATGTATCTACCGACCTATCTTGCTAGATCTATTTATTTAACTAAACAAATGACCAGGTCCCTAATGTAATGTAATAATATGTATTAAGATAATATACAGTATATATAACATATTATCTCAATCTAATCTGTCAGGAGCTAATGAAATAACACCCCCCTTCCCAGGTAGCCCAGTTCTCCTTCTCAATCTAATAAAATAACACCCCCCTTCCCAGGTAGCCCAGTTCTCCTTCTCAATCTAATAAAATAACACCCCCCTTCCCAGGTAGCCCAGTTCTCCTTCTCAATCTAATAAAATAACACCCCCCTTCCCAGGTAGCCCAGTTCTCCTTCTCAATCTAATAAAATAACACCCCCCTTCCCAGGTAGCCCAGTTCTCCTTCTCAATCTAATAAAATAACACCCCCCTTCCCAGGTAGCCCAGTTCTCCTTCTCAATCTAATAAAATAACACCCCCGTTCCCAGGTAGCCCAGTTCTCCTTCTCAATCTAATAAAATAACACCCCCCCCCCCCTTCCCCAGGTAGCCCAGTTCTCCTTCTCAATCTAATAAAATAACACCCCCCCCCCTTCCCCAGGTAGCCCAGTTCTCCTTCTCAATCTAATAAAATAACACCCCCGTTCCCAGGTAGCCCAGTTCTCCTTCTCAATATAATAAAATAACACCCCCCTTCCCCAGGTAGCCCAGTTCTCCTTCTCAATCTAATAAAATAACACCCCCCTTCCCCAGGTAGCCCAGTTCTCCTTCTCAATCTAATAAAATAACACCCCCCTTCCCCAGGTAGCCCAGTTCTCCTTCTCAATCTAATAAAATAACACCCCCGTTCCCCAGGTAGCCCAGTTCTCCTTCTCAATCTAATAAAATAAAACCCCCGTTCCCCAGGTAGCCCAGTTCTCCTTCTCAATCTAATAAAATAACACCCCCCTTCCCCAGGTAGCCCAGTTCTCCTTCTCAATCTAATAAAATATCACCCCCGTTCCCCAGGTAGCCCAGTTCTCCTTCTCAATCTAATAAAATATCACCCCCGTTCCCCAGGTAGCCCAGTTCTCCTTCTCAATCTAATAAAATATCACCCCCGTTCCCCAGGTAGCCCAGTTCTCCTTCTCAATCTAATAAAATAACACCCCCCTTCCCCAGGTAGCCCAGTTCTCCTTCTCAATCTAATAAAATAACACCCCCCTTCCCCAGGTAGCCCAGTTCTCCTTCTCAATCTAATAAAATAACACCCCCCTTCCCCAGGTAGCCCAGTTCTCCTTCTCAATCTAATAAAATAACACCCCCCTTCCCCAGGTAGCCCAGTTCTCCTTCTCAATCTAATAAAATAACACCCCCGTTCCCCAGGTAGCCCAGTTCTCCTTCTCAATCTAATAAAATAACACCCCCGTTCCCCAGGTAGCCCAGTTCTCCTTCTCAATCTAATAAAATAACACCCCCCTTCCCCAGGTAGCCCAGTTCTCCTTCTCAATCTAATAAAATATCACCCCCGTTCCCCAGGTAGCCCAGTTCTCCTTCTCAATCTAATAAAATATCACCCCCGTTCCCCAGGTAGCCCAGTTCTCCTTCTCAATCTAATAAAATATCACCCCCGTTCCCCAGGTAGCCCAGTTCTCCTTCTCAATCTAATAAAATATCACCCCCGTTCCCCAGGTAGCCCAGTTCTCCTTCTCAATCTAATAAAATATCACCCCCGTTCCCCAGGTAGCCCAGTTCTCCTTCTCAATCTAATAAAATATCACCCCCGTTCCCCAGGTAGCCCAGTTCTCCTTCTCAATATAATAAAATAACACCCCCCTTCCCCAGGTAGCCCAGTTCTCCTTCTCCCGCCTGTCAGGGGCTGATGCTCTATTAGGGGTCGACATGGCCTCCACTGGAGAGGTAGCTGCTTTTGGGTACGATCTCTACTCAGCTTACTTGAAAGCAATGGTTAGCTCCGGGTTCAAACTACCCAAGAAGTACATCTTACTGTCTATTGGTAGTTATAAGGTATGTGTTATTAAAGGTGTGTGGATAGTTTATATTGTGATAGTTGATTGTGTTCTATTGTGATAGTTGATTGTTGGGCACAGTGCCAGAGTCGCAAGCATGATATTAACTCAACATGTAAACAAGAGCTTGCCACACAGACTCACTCGCAACGTTTATATTACAACTTAAACATTATTCATCTGATAAATATTATCAATGGTTTTGCAGATAGCACCGTCATATTATGACCATTTCCATTCATAGCAGAAAGGTTTTATGGGGATTCCATTAATTTTACTTCATAAAAGAACTAGATTGTAATGGGGTAGTTGTATTGTAACCAGTAAGTTCCTTTATTAAAGTCATGTATCACGTGACTTGGACCATGTCGTTACCAATTACCAGGACAATAACAGAATAACATGTTGTTTGCAGGGTAAGCAGGAGATGCTGGACAGTGTTAAGTTGTTGCACAATATGGGCTACACTCTCTACGGATCGTCTGGTACTGCTGACTACTACAACGAGCACGGGATTACCGTACGTGACTATATTATACTGGTTACTACTACATAGTAGTATACTTATAATAATACTCATAATATATTAGATAATGTATTCAGCAGTTCAATATATTATCAGATTGAATTAGTTCTGCATCAAAGATCTGCATCTTAGATCTGTAATAACACAATTTATAAAGCTAGTATAACACAACCTCTGTAATATTAACACAATATTATAACAGTGTTATAACAGTGTTAACACACACAACCTCTGTAACAGATTACCTCCATCTCGTGGCCGTTCAATGAGAACGGTGAGGCTAGCTCCAGCGACACACCCAGTATCGGGGACTACATGTCCTCTCAGCACTTCGACCTTGTCATCAACCTTCCACTGGGTATGATATACGCGCGGCTTTGCGCACGTGCTGCTGTGATCCCTGCACGTGCTGCTGTGATCCCTGCACGTGCAGAATAAATCATACTTCGTTTACTTTGTATACTACTTTAGCATGATAAAAATAAGATAATAAATCATATTACTGGATGTAAAATCGTAAATTTGAGTCTAGAGACAAAAAAACATTTATTTGGTTATGTTATCTTATTAAAAGACATGTAAATTCAATCGTTATCAATTTTAAATTTATCCACCAACAACGGGTAATTTGTGCCAGAATTTTCAACATTACAGCAGTTAATTAAAATTCAGTATAACTTAATAACCTCTTTTCTCAGCTCACAATGTGTACAGCAGCTACAGTAGACAGAAGAAGAGTAAATCGTACGGTTACTTAACAAGACGAATGGCTATTGACTTTGCTATTCCTCTCATCACGGATATCAAAGTCGCCAAATTGTTTGTTATGGTGAGCTGATGATACAGTAGTAATTATAATACACTATACTACTATTACTAGTGATATCAGCTGTAGTAATAACGTTTAAAAATGTATAAGTCTACTTCTCGAAGGACATTGCAGATTTTGTACTGTGTTATATTTGATAATGGTACAGTAATATACCCAACAAGTCAGTTCTGTAATCCCCCACAACTTGCTGTAACCCCCACAACTTGCAGTAATCCCCCACAACTTGCAGGCGGTGTACAAATGCAGAGGACCGCCTCCTTTGTCGCTGTGTGACATCCTCTCCACACGCAAGACCATCACCCTCCCCGGTCTAATAGACGTGCACGTGCACCTGCGCGACCCTGGGGCTACCCACAAAGAGACGTTCACAACAGGCACCTCCGCCGCGCTGGCTGGTGGTGTGACCATGGTGTGTGCTATGCCTAATACTAACCCGCCCATTGTAGACAAGGAGTCGTTCGAGCTGGCTAGTAAGATAGCTACTAGTGGGGCAGTGTGCGATTATGCACTGTTCGTGGGGGCTAGTCTGACTAATTGGGGCGAGGTGTGCGAGTTAGCGCCGCAAGCTGCTGCTCTGAAGATGTACTTGTGCGACACCTTCACTACTCTGAGACTGGATGACAATACTGTCTGGTTGAAACATCTCCAGGTACTTTATTAGCACTTACTACTAGTATATTATATTATAGTAGTATTATTTAAAACACTTTGTACTTTTACTAATTACTATTATTTCAATAAATATCAAACTTGAATATTAGTTGTTCTCTTCGTCATGCCTAGTTATAGTGATAGCCCATTTGCTATTTTCTTATTATTTAGCATATTTTATTTCAGAACTGGCCCGCACAGTACCCGCTGTGTATCCACGCTGAACAAGCTGAACGCACGTGCAGTTTACCAGCTATATTGTTCCTGGTATCTGTTGCTAGGCGACCAGTGCATATCTGTCACGTGTCTAAACGTGTAGAGCTGGAACTCGTCATCACTGCTAAACAAGCTGGTCAGTTATTTTATTATTATATTTATTTATTTTTATTCCATTAGGGATCGTTCATATATTACGTAATATTATTACGTAATCACTTTTTGGCCAGTTTTTAATAGATACAGGCCAAATTGTAACATGTCACGCGATTGTAACATGTCACGCGATTGTAACATGTCACACGATTGTAACATGTCACGCGATTGTAACATGTCACGCGATTGTAACATGTCACGCGATTGTAACATGTCACGCGATTGTAACATGTCACGTGATTGTAACATATCACGTGATTGCCCAGGATTGCCGGTTACCTGTGAAGTGTCTCCCCACCACCTGTTCCTGACCAATCAGAGCACAGTACTCAACTCTGCTGTAAGACCTGCTTTGGGCACCGACGAGGACAGGCAATTCCTGTGGGATAATCTCAAGTTCATTGACATATTCGCTACTGATCACGGTTAGTAATCTTTCCTCTTTGAGTGTATTGTTTATCAAATACCTTTAAAATTTTACAGCAATAACAAATAAATGATCTTAAATAAAACCGTTCTATAAAATATGATGGGCTCCCAAACACGGTAAACACATCGTGTACTATGTCCGCAATCACTTGGACCCATAGATTTAAATATTAAATGTGTTTTAATCAGATCCCATTATATTTAAATTTCGTCGAAAATCTGTTAATATAATTCATCAGAATTAACCATTACATCTGCTGATCCAAAACGGTCTCTGTTAATTAACTATAGATGTGGATTCCCGTGGGGAGGTGATACATATTTGTTTACATTTGAGTGGCGCCTCTATTCAGCAAGTTGAAGATGTTATGCAAATTTTGTATTATAGAACGCTGGTAACACTTGTAACTCCTTCTTGTTACCCCCCTTTGAAGGTCCCGAATGGGTGACCACGTTGATAACTTTGATCGCGTCACGTATATTTAGAATAAGTTAAAACCATCGAAAGAATGAGAGCATCACTAAAAGGGAACCTTTCTGCTCTCTAACTTGAGTGCTTTAACAAAATTAAATTGCTATTTATTTGGGCGAACCACTACAAAGGGAAAATATCATAGAACTTCTTTTAAAGATCATGAATAAATGCAAAAGGTAGAGATCAATGATCACTCATAAAAGATCGTTATAAATAATTCGATGAAAATAATATGTAATACTAATATATAATAAAATTGCTAGCTAAGGGTTTATCTTGTGTTTTATGCTAACGTCCAAAAAAGCAATTACCGTGAATTTAGTACATAAATCCTGGTAAACAAGCTGATTATGTTTTGATATCACAGTATGCCTGATGATAGGTAGTTAATGTATAGTTAATGTAATAATTAATGTATAGTTAATGTATAGTATCTGATGAAACATCTTCAGCTCCGCACACGGTCGAGGAGAAGACTTCAGACAAACCCCCAGCTGGTTTCCCCGGATTGGAGACTATGCTGCCGTTACTCCTGACTGCTGTGGCGGAGGGAAGGCTGACTGTGCAGGTCGTTATTATATTAGATTATATTTAATACTTACATTATATATGGACTCTTATTTAGGGCGTTTCTTTTTTACTAAAATGATACATAAACGCAGGAGATTTAAGCAGTAGTGACAAGTATTAAGTAATGATACTACTATACTACACTACTAGCATAGTCACAACATCTACAAAGCTGCCATATAGCCTGACTGACAATTTTCTCGACTGACTGACAATGTTTCTTCTTTTTCCCCATTTAGAATACAAAGATTAGTACATTTTAGCTTATGATTAATATTATATTTTTACCTATAGTTTACCTAGATAACAGGAGATGAGAACAAGGCATGTTATTACTTTGTTATGGAGTGAGGTACAGTATCACATTATAATAGTTACCTGTTCAGGACATAATACTGAGACTGCACACCAACCCCATCAAGATATTCAACCTCCCTGAACAACCTGACACTTTCATAGAGGTGGACATGGAGGAGAAGTGGACTATTCCCTCCGCTATGAGGTACGTGGGGGCGCGGGGGTTCCAAAGGGGGAGGGGGTTCCAAAGGGGGGGGGGGGGGGGGGTTACTTGGTACTATTGTACCTTAGTGGGGGCGGGGGGACCTCCGAGGTGTTTATAAACTAATCCTTGTTCCAGGTTTTCTAAAGCTGGTTGGACCCCGTTTGAAGGAATGGAAGTTCAGGGCTCAGTCTCTAAAGTGGTCCTCAGAGGAAACACTGTCTTTATTGATGGCAAGGTACAGTGTTGTCATGGTTACAGTAAACCAATACAGATAGCGACTGTTATACAGATACTTACTAATAATTATTTGATCAGCTGATTCGTTAATAAGTGAGTTATATTTTTGTTTTAAATCAATTAAATAATAAGTTAACTATTTAAAGAACTCGACCCCAGGTGTTAGCAGAGCCGGGGTACGGTGAGGACGTAAGAAGAAAGTCTCTGTCAGCACAAGTACAGGACACTAGTTCCTCCGTGTTAGTTCCCAGCTCTCCCGCCAGTCCCGGAGTTGACAGGGTCAAGTTTACTAGCGAGGACAGTGACAACGGTCAGTTCAATGTTTAGTTAATTGAGTGTTTAGTTAATTGAGTGTTTAGTTAATTGCGAGATTAGTTAATTGAGTTACAGTGTAATAGTGTAACCGTGTAATAGTGTAATAGTGTAATAGTGTAACAATGTAATAGTGTTACAATGTAACAGCGTAACAATGTAACAGTGTAATGGTGTAACCGTGTAATAGTGTAATAGTGTAACAATGTAATAGTGTTACAGTGTAACAGTGTAACAATGTGATAGTGTTACAGTGTAACAATGTAATAGTGTTACAGTGTTACAGTGTAACAATGTAATAGTGTTACAGTGTAACAGTGTAACAATGTAATAGTGTTACAGTGTAACAATGTTATAGTGTTACAGTGTAACAGTGTAACAATGTAACAGTGTAATAGTGTAACAGTGTAATAGTGTAATAGTGTAACAGTGTAATAGTTTAACAGTGTAATAGTGTAACAGTGTAATAGTTTAACAGTGTAACAATGTAATAGTGTAATAGTGTAATAGTGTAATAGTGTAATAGTGTAACAGTGTTACAGTGTAACAATGTAATAGTGTAATAGTGTAATAGTGTAATAGTGTAATAGTGTAACAGTGTTACAGTGTAACAGTGTAACTTCTCTCTTAGAGTATAAAGCTGGAGGAATGGTGACTGCTTCCCCCAAATCTGTAGTGTTCCACGACCCTGTCAGCAAGCTTACAGCTGGTTTGTATTAATTATAGTATGTAGTAGTAATAATTTTTTCCCTGCTCTTGCCGAAGGCAAAAAGATCGTAGGGAATAAGTAATCGGGTTTGGATATATGAGGTGGCCCGACGGTCCTACGATGATGACAAAAGTCTGCTCCTTCGCAATATAGACCACTCCCCTATAATTATGTGTATAAAAGGAGTCTATTTTGCGCGCGCGACGCCAGTTATGTGTTAATTAATTACAGCCATAGCAACAAAATTTTGGTGCTTGACGACTGGTACACAGGTTTCCATCGGGTTACAATTCACTCTAATTCATTAATATAGCATATTAGTCATCTGAGCGGATCAATCATCAACATAAGTGTTATTTTGGTGAAACAAGCTTAATATATTACCGAGTGATAATATTCAGCAAGTCAAAACAAATTAAATTATGATATCAGCTGATAAACTCGTGGCTGATTATTTAACAGTTGATTGACACTTAATGGTAAAAAGCGAAAACATATAGTTGAGAAAAGATGTTACTTCACATTTACATTCAAGAAGCAACTAAGATCAAGATTGTGGTATGCTTTTAAAGAATCCTATATCAAATCAAAGGCTCGAAAATCGATGGTGCTGTAGATGTGTCGAGTATTCGAGTAAGCATCAAAATGTATTACTTTATGTTAGATAATAACTAAGATGATACAGACTATTTTATAACAGTCATTAAAGTTGGCATACGATGCAATAATATGACGTGACATGATTGATGATACGCATCGTTAACACGCGTAACAAAATTGCGCAAAATATGAAATGATCTACAACCAAACCACATACAGATCGACGGCGACACCTCAGATGCGCGCAGAATTTTTCAAGTTCTGCGCGCCTAATATAATATAAACGATTATCACGTGCGCAAAACACCACTCTGGGATAACAATAAAGTAGAACAATTACATTGTAGGCAGTAGGGAAATTTGATCGTGCGTGGTGTTACCGCGGCGAAATTCTTGTTGTGTTTATGTTGTGTTTATAATTAGCCAGTTTAAACGACGTGATGATCGGTTCCCGCAGAGGTCACCCTTTGCGGAAAATAACTAGCGAGATTTAGAGGAAGCATCGACGAAAGCAGAATAGACAAAGTTCGGGCAGTCTGGCCCAGTGGTAGGCAGGACAAGGCACCAACACCTTAAGGGGCCGGGGGGGGGGGGGGGGGGGGCTAATGGGTATTTTTTTGTGAAACTTGATTTCGAGATAGCAGTTGACCAACAATTCGACTTCAAAGTGATATAAATAGAGTCCACAACCTGAAAACTAAATTAGAAGAATATCTAGAAGTTAAGAAAAGAGGTTTAGGTTACCAGCTGTAGGAAAACAAACTGAGGAAATGGAAGAGTGAAGACAAAAGTAAAGTCATAATAAAACTTCAGCACAAATGAAATAGTTGATGGATTTATGGAGTGAAACACCAATCCGTGAGCAGACTTCGTTCTCTACGAGACCGGACTTCGCTCTGTCTGTATATAAGTGGATCATTTACCTGCTGCACATGACCAAATAAAAGAAGTAATTAGGTGTTAAAATCCAAACTGTTCATAATTCAATATTCTAGAGAACAAAGAGTGAATGTGAGTATTTTGCTGATCGCTGGCGGTGTCCAGACTCTAAGGCCACAAAAATATGGAGTAACAGCCCAGTTCCACGGCTCAGTTTTGCGACCAGATTTGACACAAAACTCCGCGAAAAGAGTTTTGAAAGGCAAAACTCCGCGAAGGCAGTATTGTTTACAATGTACGTTCCCACGGTTGGTATTTGCACGCAGATTTGCGCGCGCACGTGGGCGCATTATATAATGAAATTTCCCACGCAAGCGCCCAGGTTAAAACTGCTTTCACGGAGTTTTGGGTCATATCAAAAATATTTCTCCGTGCGGAGAAATATTTTTGAATTTCATTTCCGGTCGCAAAAATGTGAGGTTGCAAAACTGGTTGCAAAACTGAGCCGTGGAACTGCAGGGTTAGGAACCTGACCACAAACGTTACCCTTACCCTAACCTTAACCCAAACCCGTAACGGTAATTCATGTAAAAAACAAAAGGACAATAAAACCAATAAAAATATGATTATCTTTTGCGGCTGCCCATGAGTCATAACTACTACGACGTGCATTGGTCAAAAATATCACGTGACCTATAACTTAACGTAAGAACTATAATTAATATACTTGATCTACGTATCGCTGTATCAGTCGAATTGCAGGCGCTGGCAAAGTTCCAGCACACTGCTTATTATTAGTATTACATTACTTGGACCAGTTCCAGAACTTGTCTTGACGGTTACATTTGCCCTGTAAATTTTGTCGTAGCAATTTGTTTGATATGAGCCATGTAGAGGTGGATTACGTGGAATATGCTAAGTCATTCTTACATGTATTCTATACCGTGCTCTACTAACTATAAGATATATGAACTGTTATTATTACCAGGCAGACAGAGACACTACTCTCTAACAGACGCTAGTGGGTGTTTGAGACAGATCTCAATGACTGAGACACTGAATGAGACAGATGTGTCGCGACTTATACCTGTCGTGAGACACAACCTCAACAACAAACACATCCTAACTGTGAAGCAGTTCGATAGGAACACTGTGAGTTACACAATGTTATAATATAACATTAAGAGATATTATCGGGCTGTTTAATTTTATTTCCATACTTTGTCAAAACAAATGAGCCCCACTTAATAATAATTCAATTATTCTAATGAATGTATAATTTCAGCTGCACCAGATCTTCACAGTGGCTCACCAGTTTAAGAGGAAGTTACAAACAGAGATACACACGCTAGCTACAGGGTGTGTTCTGGGGACTATGTTCTTTGAGCCTAGTACTCGCACCCATCTCTCCTTTACTAGCGCCATGCAGCGCTTAGGTTAGTTAAATACTGTAACTTCAACAACACTGTAACCATGGTAACACTGTAACCATGGTAACACAGTAACCATGACAACGCTGTAACCATGACAACACTGTAACCATGACAACACTATAATCATGACAACACTGTAATCATGACAACACTGTAAACATGACAACCTTGTTTAGGTGGTACAGTGATAACTCTTAGTCCAAGTGAGAGTAGTTTGCTGAAAGGAGAAAGTGTAGAGGACACAGTTAGAAATATTCAAGGTTATTGTGATATTATGGTAATGAGACATCCTACCCCTGGACAAGTCACTACTGCTGCTAGGTTAGTAATAGTTATATTATATTATCTTTATTAAACCCTTTAAAACCATACTAAGTTGTGACTTTATCTTGTGACTTTAAATGTGCACGTATCTAACATATCCACACTACAAGGCACCTACATAAACCCCTGATAAACGGGGGAGATGGAGTGGGGGAGCACCCAACACAGGCTCTACTGGACGTGTTCACTATCAGAGAGGAAATAGGAACTGTTAACGGAATAACGGTACAATATTCTCATGTATTCCTCTTAATCTGTTAATTAGGGCACACTTGAAGCCTACAAGGACTAGTGCAACACACTAATGTGGTAATATTAAGTAATTTTTACATTTAATTACACTACACAAATGATAAGACACCAGATAACACTGATATTACCCAGGTGACGATGGTGGGAGATTTGAAGCACGGAAGAACTGTTCACAGTCTGGCGAGGCTACTCACTCTGTACAATGTTAAGCTGCAATACGTGTCCCCGTCTGAGCTGGACATGCCTGCTGATGTGATAGATTATGTCAAGAACAAAGGAATACCGCAGGTAATGGATTATTTTCCAAATATTAGCTGATATTTTGTGGTTTAACGGACTAATTTCATTTCCATTTGTCTAAAATAGGCATGAGACGGATATAATATTACACTAAGTCTCTACAGCAAATCTTTAGCCCCGATTAATTTCAGACTAGCTACAGAGATCTGCTGGACGCCATGCCATCCACTGATGTGCTATATGTAACCCGGATACAGAAAGAAAGATTCCCGTCGCCTGAGGATTACGAAAAGGTTGGTTCAAAGCTCGGTCTCACTACAAAAGTGCTGGTTATGTATCACGCATTGGTTCCTTAGTATTGCGATCGCGCGGACTAATTTTAATTTTACCGCCGCGCCGCGCACGCGTGTACTGTACATGTGCTCTGAATCAGATGTGAATCAGATGTTAGGACACAAGTGGCGTGCGAGTTAATTAAAGACCTATTACCCAATTAATTAAACGCACGTTTAGGGCCAGAGTGGTTTAAACGCGATACTGCGGGGTTATCAAATACCGTACTGTGTTACAACTAGGCATTATAATAACGAACAAACTGAAGAGTAGGATACGTCTAGTCAAATTCTAGTCTCAATTTTTTAAATGAGCCGCACGAATAAGTCACACTTGACACAGTTTCTGTTAACTCTGCTCGCATGCGATTGTGGCACTGAAAAAGTATGATGTTTTTAATCTAAAAGAGTTTCTTTCAGGCGTTTGTTTTGAGTGTTAACTTTAGTGTGTAGGTATATAGCACGGAGTGATTTATGTAAAGATGTTTTGTTTTCCTGCCAAAAAGAAGTGATTTATTCTGTTGAGCGTTGATACTAACTCCTAGGTAAAGGATTCCTACCTGATAACGCCTGAGACTCTGATAAAAGCTAAACCTGGCATGGTTGTCATGCATCCTCTACCTCGCGTCAACGAGATCAGGTCAGTTTCTTTAGTACAATGTTCTAGAACACTGTTCTTTGAATCACAGCCGTTTAGTGTAGATAACAGTGTTGTCATGGTTACAGCGTTTAATTCATACCCCTTTTTTCTCACTTCAGTGTTGAGATAGATGCAGATCCACGAGCCGCTTACTTTAGACAAGCTGAGAACGGAGTGTATGTTAGGATGGCACTGCTGGCTATGCTGCTGGGCAAATGTTAGGATGACCCGGTTACAGTTTGTCATAGATCTGGACTCGAAGTCTGGATCAGGAATGGATCTTGAGGTTATACTTTTTTATGTAATTTTGTAGAATTTGTTTTGGTTGGAGAACCTGGAATTTAACATATCTTAAGTATAAAACTATAATTATAACATGGTGCCTGTTTTCCCTCCGTTAATTGGAATTTGGCAATTATTTTTTATCTACTGACATGAGAAATTTGGCATTTTTTCGTTAATTTCTTGGAAAGACGCATTCTAGCTTATCAATTCAATTTTTAGAAATGAAATTTGATTCGTCAAGATCCTCAATTATCACGCCACCTAACGATATTTTCGTTTTATCCTTTGAAGTTTGGGCGATTTTAAATCAATTAATTACGCTCGCGGAAACATTTTCAATTTACAAATGTTAAGGTTTGCTGTTTCGTTTTCAATTTACATGGCTCATAGTCATGGTATTGGTAAGAAAATAAGACCGCCCATTTGTAGAACAGGTCGCCAGATTGATAGAAGTAATTTCTAATGAGTATAATGTTATTAGTACTACTAATATTATTAGCCAGTCATAATCACAAATATCTAGATAGCATTAGTGTTTATCAATGATTTATAAATTATTAATATACCTCTTTTATTTATATTTCTTTATTTCTGCGAAGAATCTAAATCATCTCATCATTATCTTATTATTTCTAATAATTAGAAGCATTCAGATTAAAGATGGCGCACTTTTTTTAATGGTTACCCAACTACAAATGTGATATTGATAAATAAGAAGCCTTGTGATATGGCTATTAAGAAGGTGAAACCTCCCACTCAAATGTTAAGTACGGTTTGCTGTTTCGTGTGCTGGCCACGAGCGGAACAGTAGGTTACTGCTGCTAGTGCTAGCATTGTTTTAATCTAAATTTACCGTATCTATATTCGACAAATTTATCGTCTACTTTATGTCGGAGGGGTCCGGGACTTCTATGTGCAGCTTTGCTTTAAAAGAAAGATATGACCTCTATTTCGGAAAGAAATTATATTTTTATCAAAACGTTTATTTTTTAAAGACGCTTTTTAAAAGGTTTTATTGTAGGTTAATTTATTACATAGCTTTAAAAGCTACATTTTATGTTTGTGTTACTTTATCTGTAGTCTGTATTAAAAACAATATTCTTAATTTATTAACTAAATGCGAAGTTTAATTTGTTGTAACACCTCTTACATTTAGCTTACTGAATGCGGAGTACTAATCATATAGTTGTTGTCAGCTATAAAATTATAAGAAATGAAAACTTTTATCAAAGTGAAGTTAATAAAATCAAAAATGTACAAAGCAGCGCGCCTATTATATTATCAGGATAACGGGAAATATCGTAGTTTGACAGTCAAATCAAAGAAAATTGGGGCTGTCAAAGATAGTGGGCTAGAGCAAAAGGTACAGCCAAAGAAATGTTTAACTTTCAAAGAAAATTGGGGCTGTCAAATGTCGATTAGCGAACAGTTATTGGAATCTGTGGTAGTGATAGGTGGGGTCCAATCCTGAAAATTAAAGATTTGATAATAAAATGCTTTTAGGACAACATGGGACTTAAAAATAATGACAGGCGCAAAGTTTATCCCAGTCCCACTAATAGGCTTTGTTTAATTTTGACAGCTGCTTTTATTTAGGGGCCATTATATAAGGGTCCTACTCTGGTGCAGTTTACTACAGTTCTCGATCTGCAACTGCAAGGTAGAGCAACTGTCCCCTTTTTATTATTATGGGCAGAATTACTGTCTTCTTGCTCGTAGGGGCGTGGTCACCAGGACCACTGTGTAAAATCAGTAGTAGTACTAGTATATACAGTAGTAGTAGTCTCTGTTCTCGTATGTAAAAAATGTGATTTGATCTGCGAGCGAAATATCATGAGCAAAAACTATGTATGAATTTAAGTGCGAAGAACACAAAAACCTGGGGCCCCCAGGTTATACTCATAATATTACATCGATTAGCAGATTTTTGATTTCGTCGTATCAGGGTGATGATCCCTTATATTATTAATTGTATTGAATTTTCAGTAAAAGATTGAGGTAACGGTCGCTGTTAGTGTTACCTGGGGACCCCGTCCCCAGGCTATAATGTTCATAAACATAAAGATTCGGCGGAATGACAGGCTGAGCGCCGCCCAGTAACGGTCGCTGCTAGTGCTACTCAGGCGATTTCTAATATCATAATTAGTCAACAGTTGATTGAAAACAGGGTCATATCATTCTTGTCGCGCAAAATACCTGATATCGAGCAATTTTTCATTTTGTCGGTTGCCACAGCCTAGTAGTATTATAACTATTATATGTTATAACTATCAGTATCACAGTGCTAGCAACGAACATTTTATCATTTTTACAATTCGTAAGCCGTGAATGGTGAATGAATGGGAAAAGCGAGCGACCGATTTTATCATTTTATATTTTCGGTATCATTTTGCATTTGCAGACAGTCATTCAAATTAATAATAATATCATTTACTTTTGTTTGGGAAAGAGAGATACTGGCAGCGGTCCACTCTACCCAATTATGAGTTTTGGTCAAATATAATATATATATTGTATATTAATATACTATAGTGTGTAGTTTTCAATGTCCACTGCGTTGCTAAAACGTAAATTGGACATAATTCTTGCAACTGCACAATAACGTAACTGACCCCTTGCTTCTTGAAGGTCGTAGAGACTTCAAAATAGGCTTAAACGAAGCCGCATATGCTGCGAGTTATTAACATAGAACGGGAGCAAAAAGCTGATATAAACCAATTTGCTCTAGTTTGTGCAACATTCCTCCAAATAACTCCGAAAAGTAAGTGCATATTAGGGTGCATGTTTGCTTCATAAGTTGTATTATAGAACCATGCCATTTCTGCACAATTTGCACTCATTCAAAAATCTCTAAGGCCTGCATATGCTCAATGTAACATACATACCCATATTTTTGCATGATTTCTGGAACCGAAAATGCAGTTTTTTCGCCATAACGTGTAAAAGTAAGCACTTTAAGGCTATGATTCTCGTAGTCATATATAAAAGTGCCACTTGCGGTTCTTTTGCACCTCTATCCAAAGACTCTATCAAATCCTATCAAAAGTTTAGTAAAATCGGCTCAGCGCCACGCCCACAATGGTTTTGGGTGAAATTTCGCGAAAAGTAAGGATTTTCGAGGCAATGTGTTGATCATAACTCTTATATAAACAACTTATGCGGCATTCGTTAAAGCTAATTTGAAGTCTCTACGACCTTCAGAAGCAAGGAATATTTACACTCGCTTTCCTATACCCCCCCCCCCCCCCCCCCTATAATACAGGGGCCTCTGCGAGTTGCGAGAGTGACCAAATAAGTGGCACAGTTTAAAGAAACCCCTGTTAGAAAATCGCATATCTTGCACACTGGGCCAATTAAAGAGGTAAAAAAGAGGTCCGGTACATTCAGATATCCCGGTATAGATTGGCAAGATTGACAGAGTTTTGATCATTGAAATCGATCAAATGATAGTACAGCAGGTAAAAATCGTTCGATCTTAAATGGTCCTTTTGAGCTGTTTCCTTTTATGTGGGAATTTGATAAAGCTGTATTGTAATTAGTTACAAACTCTAAATATTGTGTGGTTAACCTTTTTCAGGTCCCAGCCATTTTCCGCTAATTCTATTCCTAATTACTAAAATATGTCGAGATTTACTGACTCCAACTTCAATATTTATTGATTTTAGATGTATTCCTCAATCTAAAATCTTCGAAATTTTTTCTGAAGGCATATTTTATCCACGTTTCATGCAATTCGATCACTTTTTGGCGTAAAAAAAAAAATATATTCAAATTTCCCAAACTTTTTTTTTCAAGTCTCGAAAAAAATTTTTAAGTGAAAAATTTTTGAAGTTTTTCTAAAAAACTACATTCTTCTCTCCGTTTATCAAACGATATAAATCATTTTAACAATAAAAAATTTTCACTTTTTGTGATTAACTAATTGTAATTATCCAATACTATTGTCCGATGTAAAAAAAAACTTTGATACAATAGTTTTACTCCTTGATAAGATAAACATTCTAGTATAATTGCAGCCTTCTATGATGTTCACAACTAAAGATATTTGGCAAAACCAGAAAAGGGGTACAAAGGTGGTAATAAAGTGGTAAAAGTGGTGTTATCCGTTGAGATAAAAATTGGCAAACAAGTCCTAATTATGTTCCGAGGGTCCTAACTACCATATTCCGTTGAGAAATCCTTGTGAACATTCGAATCCAACGGAATGCCACTTTTCCCCTTACTATTCATGGCTAATAATGCATGACATTAATGTCATGACTTGAAGATTCTTAGTCCAGTCCCATTTATGGACATGTGCCTGCAAATTTTCAGATACCCACGAAACTTTGCACAGAACTTTCTCCCAAAGGTATGAATAAACGATTTTCGGTGAGAACCATTTTTTTTACCTGGCAAAACCCAGGAGGGCCAGCACGCCCATATTGGACCAAAACGTAACTGACCCCTTGCTCGAAAGGTCGTAGAGACTTCAAAATAGCTTAAAACGAAGCCGCATATGCATGCGAGTTATTAACAAAGAACAGGAAGGCAAAAGGCTGATTAACCAATTTTGCTCTATTTTGTGCACATTTCCTCCAAATAACTCGAAAAGTAAGCATTTTAGGGTGCAATGTTTGCTTCATAAGTTTTATAAAAACATGCCCATTCTGCAAATTTGCACTCATTCAAAAATCTCTAAGGCCTTCATAGCTCAATGGTATCACATACCCATAGTTTGCATGAATTTCTGAACGCGAAAATCAGTTTTTCGCCAATAACTGTAAGTAAGCACATTAAGCATATGATTTTTGTCGTTAGTCCATATAAAATATATGCCAATTGTGGTTCTTTTGCACTCCTATCCAAAGACTCTATCACCAATCTCGTATCAAAAGTTAGTAAAATCGGCTCAGCGCCACGGCCCCAAAATGGTTTTTGGCGAATTTCTCGAAAGTAAGGATTTTAGGCAATGTGTTGATCATTAACTCTTATATAAACATGCTATGCCCGGCCTTCGTTTAGCCTATTTTGAAAGTCTCCTACGACCTTCAAAGCAAGGTATATTTACACTCGCTTCCTATACCCCCCCCCCCCCCCCCCCCATAATACCAGGCCTCTGCGAGTTGCGAGAGTGACAAAAAGAGCACAGTTGTTAAAGAAACCCCTGTGAGAAATCGCATTTCCTTGCACAACTGGGTCTTATTATAGAGGTAAAAAGAGGTCCGGTACTTCAGATACCGGTAAAGATTGGCAAGATTGACAGAGGTTTTTGATCATTGAAATCAATAAAATGAAGTACAGCGGTATAATCGTTCGATCTTAAATGGTCACTTTTGTGCTGTTTCTTTATGTGTGAATTTTGATAAAGCTGTATTGTAATTAGTTCGAAACTCTAATATTGTTGTGGTTAACCTTTTTCAGGTCCATGCCCTTTCCGCTAAGCTATTCCTAATTACTAAAATATGTCGAGATTACTGAACTCCCAACTTCAATATTGATGATTTTTAGTATTCCTCAATCTAAAATCTTCGAAATTTTTTCTGCAAGGCTGCATTTTATTCCACGTTTCATGCAATTCGATCACTTTTGGCGGAAAAAAATATTTTCAAATTTTCAAACTTTTTTTTTCAAGTCTCGAAACAAAATTTTAAGTGAAAAATTTTTGAAGTTTATTCTAAAAACTACATTCTTTCTCCGTGTTTCAAACGATTTTAAATCATTTTAAGCCAATAAAAAATTTTCACTTTTTTTGGTGATTAACTATTGGTAATTATCCAATTAGCTGATTGTTCCGATGTAAAAACTTTTGATACAAAAAGTTTTACTCCTGGATAAGATAAACATCTAGTTAATTTTGGCAGCCTTCTATTATGTTCACACTAAAGATATTGGCAAAACCAGAAAGGTGGTACAAAGGTGGTAAAAAGTGTAATAGAGGGTTTACGTTGAGATACAAAATTGGCAACAAGTCTAATTATGTTCGTAGGGGTCCCTAACTACCAAAATTCCTTGAGAAATCCTTGTGAACATTTCGAATCCAACGGAATGCCCACTTTTCCCCGTACTATTCATCTAATAATGCCATATATATGCATTATGTTCATGACAGTGAAGATTTCTTAGTCCAGTCATTT